ATTTTGTACCAAAATTAGTTAGCAAGTAGCTGAATTGTAGCTTGTAATTGCATTCTTTTAACGTGCCCTAGTTCGAAATATACAAGATCACTGAATGATGAGGTTCGATAAAGTTATGAAAGACTGCAAGTAGTGGTTTGGACTTCTGTTTGGTCGCATTCAACCAACACTATAAAACTTGTGACATGACTTTCCATTTCGAAGGAAAAGTTGGTTGGAAGGAATTCGTGATGTGGTCCCACCTGAAACCAAAGGAGGATTGTCGTGTAAGGATGACTGTTGAATTGTGCGAAGACGTCCTGCGACCCCGATGAAATTGTGCTAAGGTTTTGTTTGTACCATCCTGACAGACATCATCAGAGCAAGATTCCATACCTTACGAAATAGAGCAAAAATATACTATACATATTATCTGGTAAGTTAGACTTTCGAATCTCTTCTCCATGCACTTTCAACAAAATAAAATTTGTCCCAACAACAAATGACATGAGGCTAGGCCCCATTGAATAGTGGAGGTCTGGTAATTTCTCCACTAACTTTGGAACTTTTTGATGCCTTAATTTCTCGACTACTTAAAGTCTTTAGAGGTCATCATCATGAAGCCTGTTCTCCTCTTAGATGAGTACATTAGCTGAACTGTCTACAAAATTCTTCATACATACGGAGTGTCTTGATGCAGTTGTTTTCTGGCCAGGTTGAAGGCATCGATGACCGTGGAACCTGCGAGAAGTCGAGTGTACAGGTAGTCGTAGAAGACGAGCAGAACTGGCTGCGGGACGGTCCAAGCCAGGTGAATTACGTTTGAGACGCCTATTGGTGTTGTTGGAAGAAAAGGGCAAGCAACAAGAAGTTAATTTCGTTGTGCTGTATGGCGGTATGAATGAAGTCAAGGAGGGAGACCTATGAAGATGCTGACGGCTCACCGATAACTCTACTGAGTCTACAGCAGCTTTGGTATGACTTTCGACGGAGGCTACAGCTCACCACAGCAAACGCCACAATAGCCAATGTGTACTTAAATCAGCGAATACATAAGGTCTCGTGTCAAGGACTATGTCTTTTTAGGTGGTTAAATGCGATATAAGGAATGATAATTGAGTTTTCGCCAAATCAGATAAAAACTTGATCTAGACCTTCCATTGCAAAGTTCCATCTCATCTAGCCTGGAATGCAATTTTGGCCGCGCCCAAACTGGTCTCGTCAGTCGGGTATTGAGTGCTGTGGCGACGCTACCATGGCTGTCATTCCGTCACAGT